TTGCATCAACTATAATTAAATTTTCTCCAGAATTTAATATATAATGGATATTTATAATATAATAATACTCTTTGGAAAGTATTTATGTAATTACATACATTGTCGTTTGTCTAATTTTGAGAACAATAGAGTTAGGAATTTGACCAAGTCTTGGGTTTGTTGATATATCCAGTTCTTGCAAAAACAATTTTATGTTTGAAGTTTATTAAAAGTTACAGAAAGAATTTTCAAATCGATTTTCCAAATACTATATTGCCCAATGTTATTATTTTCAAGAAATTTTTTTTTTCCATCATCGCCAATTTTACTAAATCTCACATCCTCCGCATCCCCAAATTCTGAAATCCTAGTATCTAATATCTGATTCCATATTTCTGTCATCATTGGTGAAATTGGTATTGCGAATCTTGTTTTCATTTTATAAACTATTCATGACACCGTTCAGATTTGATTTTGTGATTACGTATGTATCTCCGGTCCGCGTGATTGCCATTTCGAGTGGACTTACAATTGGGCGCGACCGCATGACATGCCGTCCAGTAGGGAAACTGGCCAACAATTCGGACAGGAGTGCCAAATAGAGAAATTATACTGTAATTTGAGAGATTAAAGAGAATAAATGGATTCACGATTTTAAAATTTGGTTTTTTAAGTTTTGAAATAATTTAAGGTCAGAAATGACTTTTTCTTCTTGATAGTCAATTAGAATGCAAAATAGTTCTATGAGACTGTTGAATAGAATTTTAGATTTTTTTTTAAATTTTATTTCTCATAGTATTTATTTAATAGCAAACGTTATTTTACAATATTGTGGCAAATCTCAAATACTCATAGTTAAAAAAAAAAAAAATATTTAAAAATCTCGTAGAGGAAATCGTGGGATATCCAAGATCATAGAATACTTTTTTCATGATTTATTTTTGTTATAGAATAATATATGATAGAAGTATTTACCATAGATTTTTTAAAACCAGACATGAAGATCTATGTCAAATTATCTCTTCATTTTCTTCTTACTTTTTGCGACTTCCATTTTAAAACGAAGCAAATAAGGCCAATTTAGATTTTCACGAAACTAGACGTTATTTCGAGATGGCAATTCCGAAGTCAAGAGTGTGTATAATCAGCATGCTGGGTTATAAAAATAATTTTAACTGCCGAGACTAATTGAATAATAAAACCAGGCAGTGATATATTGCATAATCACATTTTTAAAGCCGAAAAGATGTTGCTTAATGTAGGAGAACTATATTGAAATCCTCCAGCAGTTAAATTTATTTATTGCTGCGCCTCTCGGATAAATTAAAGCAATCATGTTTTTTTGTGTATTCTTAATTACTAGAGGAGATGAGATATTATTTTGCGTTATTAAAAAATGTATGTGAATAGTTAGGAATGCGTAATTGTTATACTTTATCAAAGATTGATAAATTTGAAGTGAAATAAGATATATAAACATTTACAATTGGTCGATAATATTAACTCGAACTGAAATTTTTTGTTAGTATAAGTTTTTTGCGGGACAGTAGCTATGACACTATTTACATGTCCAATGGAGACAAAAAATGTTTAATATCGTTTAAGATCCGTTTGAAGAAAAAAAGCCTGTTACTAGTTACCTTGTCACAAATTACCTCTAGCAGCCTTTATATTATCTTATATATAAAATTCTTCTGTACTAGTGTATGATTTGATACTTCTCCTAAACGATTATTCGGATTTTGATTATTCTTTTTAGGGTTTGTAACAGGAAATTATTAAGATTTAATGAACGATAATATTGTAGTAATAAATGGCAAAAATTACAAAAAATCTCTTATCATTGTTTGACATTGAAAACATTTGAACTGTCATTGAAAACATTTGAACTTGCTAGAAATGTCAATTCACTTGAAATTTGAATTTAGCTGAAATTATGAGCCTAGATAATATTAGAATATAATATACAAGAAAAATGAAATGCCTACAATATTATTGCCCAAAAGCAGATGAGATGTGCTAGAAATTAAAATAATATAATATACAGTCAACAGTATATGTTGGCAGATGAAATTATATAATTCAGTTTAATAAATAACGCAATAAGCCCATTTTTTATACTTATGCATGTCGCATTTTGGTTTACTTCACTAAATTATTTAACAATACAAAAACAAATTTCTACTTATTAAAAAAATGATTTAGAATTTGGTTTTATGTGTCAAAAATTTATTTGTTTGGTATTGGATATGGAATATTTAGCAAGTTGATCTTAGATTGAAAAGTGCTCATATTAACTAGATTTTAATAACAAATTAATTCACCTAAGATTTGAACATAAACAATAATGTTTATTAAATTATTAGTAAGAAAAATGTACTTTAGATATTATAATTGCCAAAAAGCAACTAATATATCGTACGTAATTATGAAAATTTTAAACTAAATTATTGAAGCAATTATGTTGTATGGTAAAATGAAGTGTGATATTGTTCTACTATATTATTTTTTTCTGAATTTCTTATACTGTGATGACAATAAATGAATCTCAAAGGCAGGACATCAAATAGGATATTAAAAAAGTATAGAATAGGATATTAAAAAATTTGGAGCTTTTGAATTGTAATCGTGGGTACAGGACAACGTCTGTCGGGTCATCTAGTATTCAAATATAATTTCGAATTTTCTACATTGCCAAAAAAGAGCCAGTAACATAACAGTCATAAGCAGAATACATAGATTGGAAAATATGTATGAATTAATATTTTATTACGTTTAGTATATTTCCCTAGATTCATATACAAAATGTTACCACATAAAATAAACTTGTGAATTTAAGATTGACCACTATCTCGTGTAAATTTATGTAATTTCCGAAAGGAAACTCGAGGACAAAATTTTCCAACCATTCGTATTCCGTAAGCATTTAGCACCTGGATTTATATGTCTCATGTGATTTTTCGGGTTCGGTCGGTACATTGGAGAGAAAAATATCACTATTTATAAGCAAGTGCGTGCTGTGGAACTATTCATTATTCAGTTATTCACAGGATACGAGGTGCACAGGACGCCATCGGCATATAGATATCAGTTCGATCCAGTATATGTAAAGGAAATACCCTAATATCGGACATATGGGCCGGTGGAGAGCAGATCAAAGATTTGCTTAGGGGAAATTTTAATATGTTACAATGTAAATAAAGTTCATACGTCCCAGTTTTACTCTTCTCAGTTTTTTTTTTCAAATTATATATACATGCTATACGATTGTTCCACTTACAGGGCTTAAAATGATATGGAAATATCTGTCGTATTTAACACAACTAGAAACTATCCTTTTTGATTTAATTTAAAACATCTTGTTCGAGCCTCACAAATTTGATTAATCTTTCTCTACCTGATATAGTAAAATAATTTCCTACCCTGCTCTAGATAATAAGATAGTTTTTTAGAAATTCATCCTAATTCTGTACGCAAAACTTGAACCGTGAACATCAAACAAATAAATACTATTAATAACTAAACCAACTTATTTAACAGACTCATTTTTTAAAGGTGTGATATAGCCATTCTAATAATAAATTATATCTGGTCCTTCGGGGTGGTAAAGTGTCCGTGTGTAGTATTTTTTTAATTGACTTTTTTAGTAAACATTGCGGTGGGTGTTCACACATTTTGTCACTTTGTTTTTGAAATGGCATATGGATCTAATTATACTAACAAGGAGAACATTAGGTTTACAAATCTTATGGTTTTTTAATAAAACTTTGCATGTTGATAAAGTTGATAGTAAAACTGTACATTTTAAAATATTAGTGGTTTAATTATAAAAAATTATTAAAATTTTGAAAAATAGAACGCGCGTAATACGTACGCGTATAGTGTAACAGTAACATTTTATTGACAACTTTTTGAAATTTCTTGAATAAAATATTTTTAAAAAATATTTATAGGTCGTTGTTATTTGAATTTTATGTTATCTGTTCTGGTAAAAACTTTAATTGCATTTTTTAAAATATATGATAATTTAATCGGTGATTAAGTTTTTTTCTATTGCATTATATTGGAAACAATACGACTCTATGTACTATAATAAAAATATTTTCCGCATGTGAAATAGCAAAACGTGACTCAATTAATAAATAATTCAGGCTATTGGGGATTTTAATAATCGCACACCATGCTATATTGTTCAATTATTTTGCGATACTTTATCAATTGCCGATTTAAATTGCTCTATATTAATTGATATGAAAAAATTAAATATTTGTAGATACTTATTACTTCATTCGTTTTGAAACTAGATGTCATAATTTAAAAGAAGAAAAAACACAAATTATAATACTAATGAAAACACACTAATTAATAAATGTTTAACTTTTCAAAAGAGTAGTTTGTTTTTGCTAGAATATCAATTTTAAAAAATGAAATATATATTGACATTTATTTACTTATACATTTTGGATCTAGATGTGTCATCATTCAGAAAAAGATCCACAAAATATAAAATAACGAAAATACACAATTTTCTCATTTTTTAACATCTAAAAGAGTAGTAGAGTAGAGTAGCCAGAACATTCATCATTCGTAAATTATCATGAACCGATTTGGAAAATATCGAAACCGAAAAATATCGAAACCGAAAAATATCAGTTGGGTACTTTTTATGACGATTTTGTTGATTTTTGTATTTGAAAAAGATGTTCAAATATAAAAGTTTGCCACAGTTAAGAATATTGCATTGTGTGAAAATTTTAAAATTCTAACGTCACAATTTTAAAAGTTGCTAAATCTCAGTTATTACTGACTAAATCGACCACTTCCACATGTTACGATATGCCTTTATACAAAATGCGACTTACACCTAGTTTGTTTTCAAAAATGTAAAACTACATTTAAACTAAAATGTATAAGCATATTTCATTTATTACCAGAGTATAAAAAAGATATTTTACATTTTATAACAGTTGACTAATTATTACACTATTCTTTGTCTGGTGGTAATAGTGTCCAGTAATTTATTAAATCAATTTGATAGTAGGATCTTGAGGTTTAAAATGAATTCCTATTATAACCAGCAATATCATATCGATTATCAATAATCCAGAAAATAAAAAAAATTCGTGGTCCTGATCGAAAGTGGCGCAAAAAGTGACTATGACCACTATAGCGTCGCCGATTCCTTCGCAGAATTCCGCCGTGGCGCACACCACCGATTTGAGTGTGGCAGGCGCTTGGGTGTACTTGAAATCCTGCCAGGCGATCATGAAGTAAATCTCCCCGATGCTGTAAATGATAGCCTGAGGCAGTAGCCATAATATGTGTACGGAGTTGGGTTCACGAATCTCGTAGAACGTGGCCGAGTCTCCGTAAAGTATCGCAGCATATGCACCGCCTAAATGCATATCGAATTGGGTCAGTATCCTGCCACCCTTCCGCACTAGAGAGTATTCGTCGGGGGTGACTTCCACTACCCTCGGACGGCTGTTTGCGGTGTATATGTCGCCTGTATGCATCGATCTCGTAAGCACTTTGATCTTTACAGCGTTTGAATCCTTAACTAATATCTGATCGCCCGGTTCGGCACCTAACACAGTTAGATGTGGAAGACCCGATTCAGATTTATCGAGTTCTATGAATGCTGATACCTCGACCTCGCCTTTGACTTCGTCAGTGTTTATGAAAACTGATACAGATGCTTGTTCCTCAATGAATACTGTTTTATTTTTGAACGTAGCGCAAGGGCTATTACTTGACAAGTTAAATGTTTTATGTCCATGCATTGGTATGTGCTTTGCTGTGTATATACTTAACGGACTCATTACAATTCCACGAGGAAAAATATCTGATGCATACATTACATAACTGCAATTCAAACCATTATAAAATCTCATCTCAGCTTGGTTAGCAGGCGGTTGAACGGAGTCGGGATTTTTTATTTTGATCCGCGATTCAATTATTCCGGATATTGCAAAGGCAATTGCCAATGACGTACCTCCAAATATCATCCTTCGCAAAGACCTGTCCATACCAAATCTTAAAATGTACGGATCTATAAAGTTCATAGTAACTGGCAGTAAAACCAGGACAAGTGTAGGGTTTAAAAAGAAGAAAATGATCAGGAATAATTGTATACGATCCAATACGACCGTCCATCTAGCAGCTTGAAAAACCATTTAGTATTTACTTGATTGTACATAGAAGAAAAACGTCGGTATCGTCACCATTATCAACAGAATGCGTAAGTAAGTTTTAATATCACTTACCATTTGTTCTCCAAAATCAGCTTTGGAATAATCCAGCCAATGTTCTTTGGGATTGGTTTTACGTTCTTTTGACCACATTTTTAAAGCATGTCTTACACATTTTACCATTCCAGAAGACATGTTAGTAGTTGGTTTTTTATTGTATAAAATTTATAGCTTGCTACTAATAATGATATTTCCAACATGTAGCTTGCTATTGAAACTCCAAA